ATCGTTGCAGTCTTTCGAGAGTCCTCGGCTTCTTCTTCCGAAGACCAAAACAGTTCCTGAAAATCTCAGGATTGATGTAAATGCATACGTAGAACTAGACAAAGAATGTGCCAAAAATGGGAACTGGAGAAGGAATATGATCCACGCATGTTAGATCCAAGAGGTAAGAAAAACTGGGTGGCGCTCGTTGAACTGGTTCAAAAGAACGCACGCACAAGAATGTGAGAGGATAATTTGAATGCGCACTGCAGGTGAATTGAGAGCCGAGATAGAGTGCGGTCGTACGGCGTGATAGCGAAAACTTCGAGGTAGCCGATCAGTTCACATACTTTGGTAGCTGCGTCAGCAACGATGGGCGCATATCCACTAAGTTAATTCGCGTATTGCTACAGGTAGAACAGCTTTCATGAATCTGTGGGGTCAGATAGGAGTTCCCTCTGCCCGAACGGCCAGGTTTACAAGTCTACAATGAGGACCTTCCTACACTATGGTAGTGAGACTTGACCCTTTCGATCTCAGGCGCCTCCAATTTTACGATCATCGCTGCCTGCGGAGCATTGCTCATGTCGAATGGTAACCTCATGTGCTTCGTAAGGAAACTGTTTGTGCAATGCTGTCTTACCTGCATGATAGTCAGCGTGTTGTTGACAAAATGTAGGCGCCCTGACTAAGAATGTTTGTTGGCGCTTTGCTTTCACGCCAAGTCCTCATTCTCGCATATTATTCTTCATTTCTAAGGCTATTGTGGTCTTACGGCAGCAGATAATCAGTCCAATGAAACAATGGATTTGTCATGGATAAAAAAGCAAACGCATAACAGTTTTTCGTAGGTAAAGTATGAAATCAAAAGTAGTTTTATCAACATAAGACGCTTGTCGGTTTGTTTAACGCAAATTCCACGTTTACACATAGTTTGGTTACGCTGTCAAGCATCGCAGTAACGTGGGTTAAAACATGTAATGCATCATCAAGTCGAGTTTTGAATTCTAATAAGGTAGGCACCGAAGTACTTTTGTTGTTGATAACGATAATGGTTGCCAATGTAAATCAAAATATCACGTTGGAGACAGTTTCAGAGCCTGCGTATGTCGTACTGACGATAGTGACTCTTCAATTGTGTGCCGCCAGCAACATCTAAATGAATAGCATAACTTTCCAGTACGTGTTCGCACCGTTTCCACGGTGGCCACAGAATGACAGCCTGTTTTAAATTCACAGTTAGCTGTAGATGGTATGCATTTATGCGAGATTTCCGTCCGATCTGGAGCGCTTGTCTCGCTCCATGGCGACAGGACTGGACCTTCACATGGTGCTATGATTTGTGTACCTCAACGATTCCTCGAGCCATGCGCCTTCAAGCTACTCATGCCAGATGGGTTAATGGCTAGAAGCCAAAATAACTTAATCTCCTGGCCCTCAAGATTGCGGCTTGAAGTGAGGACGGCTCCTTACTCCGTAAAACCGACTTTCTGTGGCCCAGTGCTGCCTTTTGGTCAGATTTTTGAACCAAAGCGAGCAACAATAATGTCATGAGATGCTCTCCGTAGTCATTTGTTGCCTTTCGGAAACCAAATTCCAAGACTACAGCGCATTCATAAAAACGACCTCACTCGTGCTTTGCAAGCTTCTGGTGCCCGCCATAGTTTGCGCGAATATCAACAGCGAGAAGAACAGGCTAGGTTTCGCATTGGTTACGGCAGTGTCAATCAAAATTCACAAAGCGCCGAATCTCCGAGCTCCGCCATGTGTATTAAGAGCCAAACATTGTAGTGAACGTGTAACGTTTACGCTCTCATTATTGCGCGACAATGGATTTCATTCCTGTTTCTATCTTCTGACAGACCATTTGTTTTACTGAGGGTACTTGACGTTCACTCGCTTTTCCTGTGAGTCGGGTGGTTCATCACTTCGTGCTTCGCTAATTGACTTCCAGTACTTTGTAGCTCGTACAATACACGTTGCATTCGGCAACGTTTCACTTCTGTATACTCGGTATCCGTGGTTGGCCTTACTGGTAATTGTCGCTAGCAGTAACTGAGTTCGGGTCCAAAATTCGTGACCCCTGTTGCGAAGTCCATCGCAGCCATCTTGTATCACGCATCCCAGTGAGACCGAACCATGTCGTTTTGTTTGGTTTTTCATTTTTAATCGTTTAGCATCCTTACATCATGTCCAATCTGGAGGTTAAACTTTCTGATCCTACTTTAAAGATTGTCACCTTTCGCATCACACCGTTTACTAGCAGTTTTGGTTTTTATTGTTAGAGTCTGAGTTCATTCGCCATAGAATCACCGCTGACATAACAAAGTATAGCCACCTACTAGCTTGCCTGTCCAGCAGCGTAACCCTGAAACTCAATGACCTTTTAATGCAGCCTGTCTCTACGCAATGTTACGACACTTAAGTAGGGCGTCATTAGCAGAAACACACCATCCAAGCGGACCCGTATTAAGCAGTTATTCCAAGGTCTGCAACTGGGTAACAAGAAACCATCAACGCTACTGAGCGAGATGCACCAAGTGCTCGGCAAATCGTCCATGGATGAGTCACTATTGCGCGAACTATGGTTACAGCGTTTACCAGAAACAGCCCAAGGTATGCTTACTGCGATCCAACTTCCATCGTCAGGTGACGCCCCTCAGATAGCTGACATAGTAGTTGATCGTTTTGGTCCTCAGCTCAATTTTGTCAGTTCTTCTTCGTCACAGTTACCTTGTACTCATAATAGCGTTCCTGTTCTTTGTTGTGCACATCCCACCCAGTCTTCCCGTATTTCACAGGAATGTACGACTATTTTAGCGGAATTAGCTGCTTTGCGCCGTGACTTTAACAACAGGTCTAACAATAACGGACCTCGCTCACGTAGCAAATCGCCTAACCGTAATTAGTCTGCAGGTGGTAATCAGTACTGCTGGTACCACCGCCGATTTGGTGCACAAGCCAAACGTTGTACCATACCCTGCATCTTCAATGCGACTCAACAGGGAAACTCTCGGGCAACGAGGTAAAGGTGACTAGCATCAATGGCCCTTCCGACAGCAGTCGCCTCCTTTTTGTTAAGGACTGCAAATCAGGAACCGCTTTGCTGATGGATACCAGGGCTGAAGTTAGTGTGGTACCTCCCGCACCTGCGGAGGCGACTGAGCCGGCCAATCTGTCTTTGTGAAGCTAACGGCACACTAATCCCTACTTAAGGCCAGCACTCTTTAACCCTCAACTTGGGTCTCTGTAAGACATTTCGCTGGGTGTTCAAAATTGCCGCCGTCCCGTTTGCCATCACTGGCATAGACTTCCTCAGACATTTCTACCTCTTGGTCGATGCGAAACAACAGAGGATAGTCGACTGCGCAACGATGCTCAGCGTCATTCACGAACGCCGGTAATGCAGCTATCACCTCAGTCTACGTTTGCCCACAAACTCCCTCCGGCTACGACCAACCATTCTCTCAGTATCCTAAGCTGATTCAGCCAATGAACGAAGCCCTCCCCGTGATATCTCAGATCATGTACCATTTCCGTACCAACGGCCCACCTGCTTTATCAAGCCCGCGCCGACTATCGCTGGAGAAGCTCAAGCTATTTAGGGTGGAATTTGAGCAAATACTCGAACTTGGAATAATCATCCTTTCGGACAGACATTGGTTCTCTCCACTCCAGACGGTCCCAAAGAATGGTGATTGGCGCCCTTGCGGTAATTACCGGGCCCTAAACAAACTTACGGTCCCCATCCCACATATGCAGGACTTCACTGCATGCTTCACAGGTAAGACGGTCTACAGCAAGATCGATCTTGTTCGAGCCTATCACCAGATACCTGTAGAGTAAAAAGACATACGTAAAGCAGCCGTCATTACCCCATTCGGGTTGTTTGAATTTTTGAGAATGCCATTCGGATTGTGCAATGCCGCACAAACATTTCAGCGCTTCATCCACGATGTCACTCGTGGCCTAGACTTCGTTTATCCCGACCTCGATGACAATGTAGTGGCCAGTTCGTCCGACGAAGAGCACCTAGTTCATCTTCAGTCTCTCTTCCAGCGATTGGCCAACAAGGCGTCACCGTCAAACCGATTAAGTGCGAAATTGGCAAGTCCGCGGTAGAATGCCTAGGCCATCTCGTTTCACCATCTGGTATCGAGGTCCTTGCGGACAAGATCCTATCCATCAAAGATTTCCCAGTCCCGACTTCGTTTAAACACAGACGTCGATTTTGTGATCTAGTCAACTACTACCGACGCTTTATCCCCGGCTGCGGTTAACTCATGCGGCGTCTATTGACCTTCTCAGTGGAATCGAGCGTGTTTGCTTTCCCCGACACAACACACACGGCTTTCACAGAGCTCAAGGATGCTATCTCCAATATAGCTCTCTTCGCTCACTCCGAACCGTCTGCTCCCTTTGACAACAAACATTACAGACGTTACGGTAGCAGCTGTTCTCCAACAACACGTCGGTGGGCAGTGGCAACCACTCGGTTCCTTCTCCAAACGTCTGCAACAAGCAGAATCCTGCTACAGCACGCTTGGTAGAGAACTGCTTGCCAAAACGTAGTAGCACTAAGCATGTAACACATGCTTCCGAGACACGTAATCTCAGCAAGCGGAAGACGTCTGAACAGCAGGAGGTTTATCAATCAATTGAGAAGGCACAAGGTTCACGGAAACGCGCAGCGAGACCGGGGAGGTGTGTCAGATGATTGGCTAGCTGGTGTGAGTGGTAATCAATCCGCGGACGGCTGAAGTAAACGGATCGAAGTCATTCGCGTACGTGACATCTCCTCATCTCTTGAAATGTATATACTCCTGACACGAACCGGTCAACGGGTTTATGCGTACGCTGAGATCTGCGAAGCGTTGGTGCATCTGACGATTGTACATAATCCTGGGGGTTTGCTTCCGTTTCCGGCTGAATGGATGCGGATTCACCCAGACGTTCATCTGCTGTTGTCCCAACAAAACGTGAACGTATGTGATCTGAGTGTCGCCGTACTATCCGACCATTTAATTCAAGATCTGATTGGGTACAGTCACTTTAATTACAGTTGCGGGTTGCCAGCAGTGCACATGGGGAAGTCGTGTGTATACGGGATCACCCGGCTGCCAACTAGAGTCGTGGTGATCTTGCGATGCGGCAGCCTTGTCTTGTTTCCTCTCCATTTGTGCTCTATGATTTGGAAACAGAAGATCCAGTCTGGTACGGAGTGTTCGACCAAACATCATCGTAGGTGATTTACCAGTAGCTTCCGAGGGCGTTATCCTGTAAGCAAACAACAAGCGATCTAACCTCGTCTGAACAATTCCTGGTCCTTGTTTGGAGAGACCTCTTTTAATTGTCTGCACCGCCCTTTCTGCTAGCCCATTAGAAGCAGGGTGATATGGAGCTGTACGGACATGCTGGACACCATTGCTATTCATGAAGATTTCAAATTCTTTGCTAGTGAAACATGACCCATTGTCTGTGCAGAGTGTCTCCGGTATCCCAAATATTACAAATGACGACCGCATTTTGGAGATAGTTGTCTCTGTAGTAGGGTGGGCAACGGTATAAACATCTATCCATTTCGAACGAGCGTCAATTAGCAGCAGGAAAAATACATCATTCATGGGTCCAAAGTAATCCGCATGGATGCGCTGCCATGGCTTTTCAGGCCAACGCCAATGGTGTACCGGACCGGGAGGTTTATTTGACTGATACTGCTGACACAAACCATATGTTTTTAGATAGTTCTCTATCTCCGTATCTAGGCCAGGCCACCGGCAGTAAGCGCGCGCCAAGGCTTTCATTCGGGCTACGCCTGGATGTGCGTTGCGGAGTTCGTTTATGATGGAATCAGGCGGGATCCCCAAAACAAGCATCCGTCGTGAAGGTTCAATTCATTTTTCCGTTGTGCGTAAGGTTTCAGATCGACGGGAACTGTAGTAGGCCAGCCGGTTTTCGTAAGTCGCACTATAGAAGATAACGTTGGGCCACGATCGGTCTACTGACGTATGGTGTCACTTGTCAATGGAGTGGTGTCGAGGTGTTGTATTAGATTTACAAGCTCTGCTGGTTCCCCCAGTATTTCGTCTGGGGTCGCATGTGGTAACCTGCTTAATGCATCCGCTGTATGATTGTTCAACCCAGGAATTTACGAGATTCGATATTTATATGCATTTAATATTAATGCCTAGCGTTTCGTTCTCGGTGAAACCATCTGCTCGATTCCCTTTGACTCGCTCAGCAAGGATATCAGTGGTTTGTGGTCGGTTTGTATTTCGAAATAGTTGCCCAAATGTACTGATGAAACCTCTTGACACCAAATATAACTGACACGGCTTCTTTATCCTGCTGGGAGTAATTCTTTTCGGCGGGTTGTAAAGTGCGTGAAGCAAATGCAATCGGGTGAATGACACCATTGGACATTTTGTGGCATAGAACAGCTCCGACACCGTATGGAGAGGCGTCACACTGTAAGATTAACGGTTTTTCACTATCGTAATGGACCAAAACAGGTGCGAAAGCAAGACACTTCTTTGCACAAGTAAAAGCAGATTGATGCTCACTTTTCCACATCCACGGGATGTTTTTGTGTAAAAGTTCGTTTAATGGAGCAAGAATGGTCGAGGCATCAGGTATTAAACGACGATAGTGGGACAACATTCCTAGGAATGATTGTAGTTCATCGCTATTCTTAGGCTGAGGTGCCTGCACAATAGGCGTTAGTTTATCTTGCAGAAAATGCAAACCCGTTTTGTCCAGTTCGTAACCAAAGTAACAAACAGAATCGGATAAGAACTCACATTTGGACTTTTTTTAATTTCAACCCACACTATTCCAGAAGCAAGAGAACAGTTCGCAATGTGTTTAGGTGATCAGCGTCACTGCGACCAGTAAAAAGGATATCGTCCAAGCATGCAGAGGTGAACGGTATATCTTTAACTATATTATCCACTATACGTTGGAAAAGCTGGGTGCTGAATTTATTCCAAACGTGAGACGCATGTACGGGAATAGTCCCAGGTGGGTAGTTATTTTGGTCAGTTCCTGTGACTCATCAGCAATGAACAATGAACAATGAATTTATACGGGTTAAGAAGCGTTGCTTTACAAGTCCCGTTGGATAGTTGCAGGTGATATCAACATAACAATAATGATGATAAGGATAGTAAAATAGTTAATACTTTAAATATGATAATAAGGACTTATCGTTTGCTTCGCTGCAGTCCTGCGATCCTCTTAGATTCACAGCATCCACAGATAACAACGAATAATTCCATGGCGAACTACAGGTGTAGGATGGAGACGTAGTTGTTACATGTGTGTCGTCCGCTAAACCGCTGAGCCGATGAGCAAACGCAGTCACATACAGATCGATTGAATATGTGCAATAAAATCATTGACACTTTCGTTCGGCTTCTGGACAAGTTTTGAAAAACAGGATCTAGCGGTGTAAACCTTTTGTTTCCGCACCCATAACGTGGTATAAGTATCCAAAGCAGAACTGTGGGTGGCATATTTTTCCAGCTGCAGGGCATCCTAGTGCCGTTGATCTTCACCACCAAACACTTGCCTGAGTAGTGTGATTTGGTGTGCCTCAGAAAGACAAACGGTCAGATTCAGTAAAGGAAGTAATTCCACGTATGTAGTGAATGGTTTCTTCCATCTTATCCAGTTGGACAAGGTCGCTTTTACCTCAGCAGATAAGCAAAAGATAGGAGTATTCAACCTTGGGTTCATCATTTTCGTCGCCACTAAGACGTAGTACAACTAAGCATGTAGCGCACGGTTCCGAGTCACGTAATCCCATCAAGCAGAAGACGTCTGAACAGCAGGAGGTTTATCAATCAATTGAGGAAGGTACAGTTCTCACGGAACTCGCGTTGCGAGACCGGGGGCGTGTGTCAGATGGTGGGCTGACTGGTGTGAGTGTTAAACAATCTGCGCACAGCTGAAGTAAACGGATTGAAGTCATTCGCGTACGTGACAATGGTCAACCACTGTACATGCTGTTCGTGGATTTATCGAACCGTTTGACACTGTGCCACACTTAAGGCTATGACAAAACGAGCTCTTACGGTGTATGTGGTCATGCCCCACACTGGATATCTGCATGCTTGAAGGGAGAAGAGCCGTGTGTATACGTCGGTTGTAGACAAGCTGCTCTTACAGTTGACCCACAAGGCGTAGTTCCTGCATCGCTGCTGTTCTATGAACAATGAACAATGATATATTACAGGTAAAAAAGCGATTGCTTTACAAGTCCCGTAGGATGGTTGAAGTGAAAGTAAACGTAAGTGTAAAGCGTCAATTTAAGCGTCTAGTGATTCAGGTGCCCCTTATTTATATAAACATTGTAGAATGTGTACTGAATTGTTACTGTAGGGTAATATGGGGAAGTAATATGGGGGGTATGTATTAAGAACAAAAGAAACGACAACGCTTACTCTTGCGCCGCTTTCTGGGACTGAGGTAATTACCGAATGTAGTTGTAATATATCCGAAACTATATTCCACAACAGCAGTGTGTCAATAGTGCAACACGAAAGCTGAGAATGAGCACCGTTAGTTCGCGTTTGGTTGATGTAGACATCTTTGATTATATAGCGTAATGTAAGTGACTAAGCGAATCATCCAGACGTCTTTTGAATACCGTTAGCGTGGGGGAAGAAAAACATATGTGGGAAGAGCGTTCCACTGTTGGCACACACGAAGGGAAAAGAAATGCAGGCGGCATTCCAACCGGCTGTATTGTGTGGCCAGCTTTAGCTGGTGTCCTCTGAGTGTGGTATTGCGACTCATCTTTAGTAGGTGACGACAAGAATGGTTCGGATTCCTCTGGATCATATAAGTCATTATCAACTCGCCACGCAGACGTCGATGTTGTCCACTGTAGACCCCGAGAGTTTTCAGCCTCAATCGATAAGGGAGATGAAACAGGCCCTTTACGTTCTTGGTCGCCCTTCGTTGTGGGGGTTCAAGAGCGGTAAGCTTTTGCTTTTGTCATGGCTGCCAGACGTGGATGGCGTACGCAGAATGAGGCTGAATGTTGGCGTTGAGCATCTGAGAAAAGATGGAAGGATCAAAGCGCCCGAATGCCCTCCGCAAAAGGCCAAGGTTTTGGTTAGCTTTTTTGGAGACTTTCTCGACCTGACGGGAACAGCCCAGATCTTCCTACACTACCACTCCTAGATCGCATTCCGTTGTAGTGCGCTGCAATATTTGATCCCCTAGTCTGTATTCACAAGTAGTTTTATGGCGTATGCTCAACATCTTGCACTTTGTATCGTTGAACTGGAACAAGTTCTGAGTCGACCATTCGTAGACCCTGTCAAGATCATCCTGAAGTGCTGCATTGTCGCTGGTTGTTCTAATGGCTCGCCATATCTTGAGATCATCAGCGAAGAGTAAGGAGTTGGAGTTGATTACTGTCGCGAGATCGTTTATGTAAATCAGGAATAGTCGTAGACCAAGTACTGAGCCCTGGGGCACTCCGCACTTAACGTCGATTGGGTCAGAGATGACGCCGCGAACTCTTACATTCAGATGTCGTTGAAGCAAGAAGTTACTTATCCAACCGAGGATTGGGTCACCAATTCCACAACACTGCAGCTTGTGAAGGAGGATACGGTGGTTCAGACGGTCGAAAGCCTTTGAGAAGTCCAGATATACTGCGTCAACATCTACGCCGCTGTCAACGGTCTCAGTCCAA